TAGTGGCACTGCTTCCTTCTTCCATACTGTGTCAATGGGTATTTGTTGCAAAGTTATAGAACATCATTTACTATATGAAACTTTTTTTTATTTTTTGCAGTAGAATTCTGAGGAGCATACTTGCAAGGAAATTACAGAAAGGTACCAAAAAAACAGAAAATTTATAATTGGAACTTTAGTTATCCTAATATAGGTCATAATTGCATGAAGGGCTGAGAGGGACCATAATTTCTAAAATATTTCAAACAGAATCTTCTACATTAATATGTTCCCAGTGAAATCAGGAAGGAGACAATGATGGACCTAGTTCTAGGGAATGAAGTGCATCAAATGGATCAAATGTCACTGAGGGAACATTTAGAGAACAGTGAACAAAATATAATGAGAATGTGACAAGCCATGAGAAAGAACAAGAGCAATCCTGAGTAAAAGTAGTAAATTGGGAGGCAGGCCAAGAATGATTTGTAATCTGAGCCCAATCCAAAGATTGGGAAGCAAGAATGTAATTCAACAATGGGCTGCTTTTAAAGACATTGTTGCAATACAGTTGAAAGACATTCCCATAAAGGATAAAAGGTAGGGCAAACAAAAAAGAAAATCAAAGAAAGAGTTTGTAAAGGAATTGGCAGCCAACATTAAAATCTGTTCATCCAGCCCTGCACCTTGTTGTCTCGGATTCTCCAGCATCTGCAGTTCCTACTATCTCTGATTCGATTAAAATCAATCCAAATGTCTTTTATAATCATATTGATTGTAAAGAGTGGTAAAAGGAGGAGGGGGCCTAATTAAGGGTCAAAAGGTGTTTTTTTTGTAAAAAGGCAGACAGCTTGGCTAAGGTGCTAAATAACCACTTTGCATCTGTGCTTACAAAGTCTGGACAAAGGATGTGGATGCTTTGGCGAGGGTACTGAAAAGGTTTACCAGGGTATTGCCTGGTATGGGGGATTTTAGCTGTGAAGAAAGGTTGGATAGACTGGATTTGTTTTCATTGGAATGCAAGAAGTTGAGGGGTGACCTGATAGAATTTTAAAAGATTGTGAATGGCATGGATAGAGTGGAAAGTCTGAGGCTTTTTCCCAGGGTGGAGGGGTCAATTACCAGGGGACACAGGTTCGAGATGCGTGGTGGTGGTGGTGGTGGGGGTGGGGGTGGGGGGAGGAGGAGTTTAAAAGAGATGCACGCATTTTTCTCACAAAGGGTGGTGAGTGCCTGGAATATGTGGCCAGAGGTGTCGTGGAAGCTGACGCAATAGCAGCATTCAAGAAGCACTTGGACGAATACCTGAATAGGAAGGGAATAGAGGGATACGGATCCTGAAAGTCAAGAAAGTTTTAGTATGGAAGGGTGAAATGTGTTGGCACAGGCTTGGAGGGCCGAAGGGCCTGTTTCTGTGCTGTACTGTTCTTTGTTCTTTGGAATAAGATGCTGCCCAAGTCATGGTGAAAGAGAAGGTAATAGTTATACTGGATGCACTGGAAATTGATAAGTAGGAAGAGTTAGAATGGGTAGCTGTTTAGCAAGTTGATGAGTCATTGGGGCTAGATGTGATGCACAGAGGGAAGCGAGGGTGGAAATTACACAGAGCACTGGTCAGAATCTTCTGATCTGATTAGGTGGTGATAGAGGGCTGGAGAATTGCAATTATTAAATCCTTATTTCAAAAAAAAAGTTACAAGGATAAACTCAGCAACTCCAGGCCAGCCAATTTAGCCTCTCTGGAGGAACAGCTTTTAAAATAATCATCGAGGACCAAATTTATGTTACTTGGAAAAAGTGGATTAAGCAAAGTAAGAGAGCACCAATTCATTAAGGACAAATTGTTTAATGTGTGATTGAGTATTTTTAATGAAGTAACAGAGGGGGTTGGGGAGCATAATGCAGTTAATGTTATGTACGTGGGCTAACAGAAGACCCTTGATAAAGTGCCACATAACAGATTTGTCAGCAAAGTTGAAGCCCATGGATAAGACAGACAGGGTCCGCACTGATAAAATGTTATTTGAGTGACACATACAAAGAACAGTGGTGAACAGCTTTTTTTTTGGATTAGTTGGAGGCTTATGGTGGGTTCTCCAGGGGTGAATAAGAAGATTCCGGTTTTGCATGACCTACATTAATTTCTTGTATTTGGGTGCACAGGGTATAATAAAATTTGAAAATATTGTGAACTGAGGAAAATAGTGGTAAAGTTTAAGAAGACATTAATAAATTGAACAATATAATATTACATTTTGGTCGAAAGAACAAAGAAAGGCAACCTAATACAAAGGATAAAATTTCAGAAGTGAACAGTGAGACATATGAGATGTACGTGCACCAACTGTTGAAAATTGAGATTGAAGTTAAAGGTACGTCAGAGCCTGGGCTGTATGAACAGAGGTAGCGAATTCCCTTTCAAGTAGTGAGTTCCAGAACCCCACCATCCTCTGACTGAAAATAATATTTCTCAAATCTCTTCAAAACCTCTAACAATCACCTTAAATCTATGTCTTCTGGTTATTGAAACCTCTGCTCAGGAAAGTAGGTCCTTCCTATGCACTGTATCTAGGCCTCCCAATCTTATACACCTCAATTAAATCTTTCTTCAGATTCCTTTGATCAAAATGTTCAGTAGAACACGAGAGCAAAGCTCAAGCATTTATTGATGTCATTCCAAACTAGAGACCAATTACTCACTGCCAATCAACCATAACCTTTTGTACATATAACCGTCAATAAAATGAAATCAATTCTATGAAGTTGATCATAAATCATCAAGGTTACTGCATCATCGTAAAATAATCTAACTGCATGCTTCAAAAAAATCGTCCAATTACCTTGCTTTTGTTACAGTTGGAAAGAATTTCTTTTTTCTTTTAAATGACGCCATATTACAACTTTCAGTTATTCATCACAATTTACATCAACAACAGTAGATTACCCGACAGGCTATCTGGCACAAATCAGACTTGAGCACTTCTTGGTGGGTGGGGAAAAACTGGGGAGGAGTGTAAATGGTTAACGAGTGAATTAGCTTTACCTTATGAAATGCGGGAGCGGAGGGATGTGGAGAGAAAACAGATAGGTATTATTAATCAAAATGGGATGTGTTTGTTGGGCCCAATGGCCTACACTTCCTTAAATTCTAAGGAATCACTGTGCCCAAAATTGTAAGCACTTATTTTTCTTTGATAGTGTAGATTCTTCAAGGTGAGAATGTTAGTACTAGGCATTAGAACTTTCCCCGTTTCAGCATTAAGCATAAACAAGTTATGCTCAATCACAAGTTCACAAAAGCACCCTCCCTCCCATTACACTACGTGACAACTTTTCATAACAAATAAACAGCAGCTCTGTGTTGAAGACTGATGGCTGTTACAAACTGGACTGACAATTCCTCTTCACACACAACCCTTCGGAAAAGTGCACTATAGGTTAGTGAGATTAAATCACATGGGATCCAGGGAGAGCTAGCCAATTGAGTACAAAAGTGGCTTGACAGTAGGAGACAGAGGGTGGTGGTAGAAGGTGGTTGTTCGGACCAGAGGCCTGTGACCAGCACTGTGCCTCAAGGATTGCTGCTAGGTCCACTGTTGTTTGTCAGTCATATAAACGATTTGCTTGAGAACTTAGGAGGTACGGTTTGTAAGTTTGTGAATGATACCAAAATTATTAGTATAGTGGGCGGTGAAGGTGGTTATCTAGAAATACAATGCGATCTTAATCAGGTGGGCCAATGGACTGAGGAGTGGCAGTAGCAGTTGAATTTAGATACATGCGAATTGTTGCATTTTGGTAAACCAAACCAGGGCAGGACTTACACAGTTAATGGTAGGGCTTTGGGGAGTGTTGTTGAACAGAGACCTAGGAGTGCAGGTACCTGGTTCCTTGAAAGTGGTGTCACAGGTAGACAAGAGGTGTTTGGCACGCTTGCCTTCATTGGTCAGAGCACTGAGTGTAGAAACTGGGATGTCATGTTGCGGACGTACAAGACATTGGTGAGACCACTTTTGGAGTAATACGTCCAATTCTGGTTGCCTTGCTTCATGAAGAGTGTTATTAAACTGGAAAGGATGCACAAAAGATTTACAAGGATGCTACCAAGGTTGGATGGTTTGAGTCTTAAGTAAAAGGTTGGATAGGCTGAAGTGTAAGAGGCTAAGGGGTGTTTTTTTTTTTTACCCTGCAGCAAAGGAGACAGAGGAGTGACCTTATAGTGGTTTATAAAATCATGCGGGACATGGATAAGGTGAATAGCCACAGTCTTTTCTCCAGGGTAGGGGAGTTCAAAGTAAGAGGGCATAAGTTTAAGGGGAGAGGGGTAAGGTACATTAATAAGAAAGGTTTAGAGGGATATGTGCCAAACACAGGCAAATGGGACTAATCGAGTTCAGGAAACCTGGTTGGCATAGACAATTTGGACCAAAGGGTCAGTTTCTATGTTGTATGACAATGACTCTAAAATTATTTCTGTGATCGGGGTAAAAAAAGAAGTCCAGGCCAAGCAAAACTCTATAGTCTGGATCAGATACAGTCAAGTGTCTTTGCAGTCTCTATTTGGCTCCTAGTTTCCATCCCTATTTATTAAGTTGGTTACTTCAGTCCAAGAACATTTTTATCGAAGACACAAAATAAGTTAACATCTGCTTAATTTCACAAAGAAGAACTTTGTACGTCAAGTAAACAAATATTCAGGTGGCTTTTTATGCTGATCTAAATGATCAACGGTAAGGAGATTTATTTTCAAAGAAAACTGAAAGTGGGCTTTTATTGATCTGGTATATTTGACATGACCCATGTTCCATTAAAGATTAAACTCCTGGCACAAAGACAGGCAAACTTTGCACCCACAGTTGAGAATAAAGATTTTAAAATGAATCAACCGCCATCACAGGTGGATTAGGTCTCAAGGAGGATGTAACGATATATTCATTTCAAGTAACCCTTTCTTGGGCAATACCACCCACCAAGCTTTCCATTCTTACAAGACAGATATGAAAATCAGTAGATGAATTACTCACCCTATCAAGGACACCATCTGTTCCACTATGTGCCTGCTGAACATTATAATAACAAATAGTTTCTGTGGGTTTTAAAAAAATCTTGTTAGTTAGGGATAAAATAGACACCGAAAAAATAAAGGTCACTTAAAGAAACAAGAAGGGATTTGCTTATTCAATTTACCCATAGAATTAGAGATAAATAAGATCCGAGACATGGATTTTTGGTATACTGGAAAGATGCAGCCATTCAGCCCATCATACATGTACTAGCTTCCAAAATTAGTTTTCACTTAGTGCTATGCTTCTATCTTTTCCCCCTAACCCAGTATGTTGTTCTTTCTCAGATAATAATCTAATTCAGTTTTAAATGATTCAACTGAACCTCGATTTATCACATATTCAGACAGTCAATTCCCAACCTTAATAGCTCAGTGAGAGAGAATATTTTTTCTTCTGTCACAGATTTAAACTCTTCCCAGAGGAAGCATTAATTATATTATAAGACAATGTGAACAGTTTCTACTTTATTGCAGTGAGACTCCAGGAAGGAAGACAAAGGCAAACAGCACATGTGGAGGTTTGGAAGAACAAGAAAAAGCACACTAACTGCAGTTACATCTACAAAGAAACAGGAGAAGGATTGAAGGTAAACAAAGTATAATTTATCAGACAACAGCATGTTATATATACACACACACGAGTCTGGGATTGGGTAGAATTGCCAACCCCACCTTCCATTTTACTAAATATCAAGCATAAGACATTCTCAATCATATTAATCCTAGAAATGTTGGTTACTACTCAATTATGGATAGACAAGACAATGGATTGACAAGACAATGGATTTTGGTCAAAATTTAAAATGAAAAATTGTCTTATTGGCTGGTATCTCCATTTTGGTTAAATTCTGAACTTTTGCTTACAATCTCTGTTAATCACTTTCGGTTATCAATCAGTATTTAGATTTATGAACTGACAACCATTTGAACCCAGAAGATACTGTCATTTGGTTGGACACTTGTGGTTTGCTGGAATTACATATTGGGAGATTCCAGATATCCTCCTCCGATAAAATTACATTGTTTTAAAACAAACAGAAGAGTTTTACTGTGCAGTAGCAATAAACAAAAACATGATTATGTTTGACCTCAGTGGGTAGAGGCCAACTTCTCCTTTCGGCAAGCTATCCAACCTTTTTTTCCCTTGGTACAGTTTTCCATTTGTTTCTATCTATATGCAATCTGAATCATATTTCTAAAACATGTACAGAGGGGGAAAGAAAGAAACCAATCTGTGCACTCAGCAGAATGTTAGGCAGGAAGGATATAATCCTGACAGGCAACAGTGAAGAAATAAGTCACAGGTGTTAGTTTGCCTTGTGCGTAACATTTATATAGTGCCACTTGCAACCTCAACATGTCCCAAATTATGTACTTTTCAAAGTAGTCATTCATCTAATGTAGGGAAACATGACAGTCAGTATTGCATATGGTGGGGTCCCTCAAATAAAAATGACACAGGTGAATCGACAATCACATCAATAGGAGGAAAATATTGTGGATGCTGGAAATCTGAAACAAACAAAGAACGCTAGAGAAACTCAGGTGGTCTGGCAGCACCGGTGGAGGGAGAAACAGAATTAACATTTAGAGTCCAGCATGACTGTTCTTCAGAGCTGAAACTGTTGGAAAGGGATTTTATATATGCTTTTGGCAGAGACAGAGGAGAAGCAAAGGGACAGATGGTGCAGAGGCCAAGAGAAAATTCAAAGAGGCTGCTAATGTTCGTGAAAGAGAAAGAGAGCTGTAGAATGTGTTCAAGTCCCACACACTCCAAAGGTGTGTAATAACATCTCTGAACAGGTTGATGAGGAAATATCTATGAGGATCTGAGGAGTTCAATACACATAGGACTAGTGCAGCAGCAAAATGAAATTTAAGAAAAGACTTGCATACAATGGTTAGTTGATAACTGGATAATTTAAAATGTCCTCAACGATAACTTTTTAAAAAATTTATTTGTGGCATGTGGGCATTGCTGGCTGGCCAGCATATATTGCCTGTATCTAGTTAACCTTGAGAAGGTGGTGGTGAACTGCCTTCTGGAACCACTGCAGTCCACTTGCTGTGGGTCGACTCACAATGCTGTGAGGGAGAGAATTCCAGGATTTTGACCCAGGACAGTGAAGGAATGACAACATATTTTCAAATTAGGATGATGAGCAACTTGACGGGAAACTTGCAGGTGGCGGTGTTCCCACGAAACTGGGGCCCTTGACCTTCTGGATGGAAGTGGCCATTGATTGGGAAAGTGCTGTCTGAGGATCTTTGGTGAATTTTTGCAGTGCATCTTGTAGATGGTGCACACTGCTGCTACCAAGAGTCAGTGGTGAAGAGAGTGGATGCTTGTGGATGTAGTGCCAACCAAGGGAGCTGGTTTGTCCTGGATGGTGTCAAGCTTCTTCAGTGTAATGGAGCTATACCCATCCAGACAAGTGGGGAGTATGCTATCACACTGCTGACTTGTGCATTGTAGATGGTGGACATGCTCTGGGGAGTCAGGAGGTCAGTTACCTGTCACAGTATTCCGAGCCTCTGACCTGCTCTTGTAGCCACGGTGGTTATGTAGCGAGTGCAATTAAGTTTCTGATCAATGATGACCCCCAGGAAGTTGATAGTGAGGGATACGGTGATGGCAATATAATTAAATATCAAAGTGTGGTGGTTAGATTGTCTCTTATTGGTGATGATCACAGCCTGGCATATATGTGGCGTGCAGGTTACTTGCCACTTGTGAACTCAAGCCTGGATATCGTCTAGATCTTGTTACATTTGAACATAGACAGCTTCAGCATCTGAGGAGTCACAAATGTGCAATGTTCAGCACCAATCATTAACAATCTTACGATGGAGGGAAGGTCATTAATGAAGCAGCTGAAAACGGTTGGGCTGAGGACACTGCCCTGAGGAACTCCTGCAGACAACTCCTGGAGTTGAGATGACTGACCTCCAACAACCACGATTATCTTCCTGTGTGCCAGGTATGACTCCAACCAGAAGATTTGCTTCCGATACCCATTAATTCTAGTTTTATTTGGTCTCCTTGAAGCCACACTTGGTCAAATGCAGCCTTGATGTCAAACTCCTGTCACCTCACCTCTGGAATTCAGCATTTTTTTTCTATTCATTTGTGGGATGTGGGCGTTGCTGGCTGGCCAGCATATTTTGCCCATTCCTAGTTGCCTTCTTGAACCACTGCAGTCCTCCTGCTGTGGGTTGACCCACATTGCTATTAGGGAGGGAATTCCAGGATTTTGACCAGTGACAGTGAAGGAACAGCAATATATTTCCAAGTCAGGACGGTGAGTCACTTGGAGATGGTGGTGTTCCCATATATCTGCTGCCCTTGTTCTTCTAGATTGAAGTGGTCATGGGTTTGGAAGGTGCTGTCTGAGGATCTTTGGTGAATTTCTGCAGTGCATCTTGTACACACTGATGCTACTGAGCATCGGTAGTGGAGGGAGTGGGTGGTTATGGATACAGTGCCAATCAAGGGAGCTACTTTGTCCTGGATGGTGTCAACCTTCTTGAGTGTTGTTGGGACTGTACTCATCCAGGCAAGTGGGGAGTATTCCATCACACACCCGATTTGTGCCTTGTAGATGGCGGACAGGCTTCAAGGAGTCAGGAAGCGAGTTACTTGCCGCAGTATTTCAAGCTTCTGGCCTGCTCTTGTAGCTACTGTGTTAATGTGGTGAGTCCAGTTGAGTTTCTGGTATGATAACCCCCAGGATATTGATAGTGGGGGATTCAGTGATGGTAACACCATTGAATGTCAAGGGATGGTGGTTAGATTGTCTCTTACTGATGATTGTCATAGCTTGGCATTTGTGTGGCGTGAATGTCACTTGCCACTTGTCAGCGCTAGCCTGGATATTGTCTAGATCTTGTTGCACATGAAATTGGACTGCTTCAGTATCTGACGAGTCACAAATGGTGCTGAACATTATGCAATTATCAGCGAACATCCCCACCTCTGACCTTATGTTGGAGGGAAAATCATTGATGGAGCAGCTGAAGATGGTTGGGCCTATGACACGACCCTGTGGAACTCCTGCAGAGATGTCCTGGAGCTGAGATGATTGACCGCCAACAACCACGACCATCTTCCTATGTGTCAGATCTGACTCCAACCACTGGAGAGTTCGCCCCCTGATAACCATTGATTTCAGTTTTGCTAGGGCTCCTTGATGCCACACTTGGTCGAATGCAGCCTTGATATCAAGGGCTGTCACACTCACGTCACCTCTGGAATTCAGCTCTTTTGTCCATATTTGAACCAAGGCTGTAATGAGGTCATGAGCTGAGTGGCCCTAGTGGAACCCAAACTGGGAATGACTGAGTAGGTTATTGCCGAGCTGCTTGATAGCACTGTTGATGACACCTTCCATCACTTTACTAATGATCGAGAGTAGACTGATGGAGTGGTAATTGGCTGGGTTGGATTTGTCCTGCTTTTTGTGTATAGGACATACTTGGGCAATTTTCCACATTGTCAGGAACATACCAGAGTTGTAACTGTACTGGAATAGCTTGGCTAGGGGAGCGGGAAAGTTCTGGAGCACAGGTCTTCAGTACTATTGCCGGGATGTTATCAGCACCCACAGCCTTTGCAGTATCCAGTGTCTCCAACCGTTTCTTGATATCATATGGAGTGAATCAAATTGGCTCAAGACTGGCATCTGTAATGCTGGGGACAACTGGAGGAGGCAGAGATGGATCATCCACTTGGCACTTCTGGCTGGAGATTGCTGTGAATGCTTCAGCCTTATCTTTTGCACTGATGTGCTGGGCTCTTCCATCACTGAGGATGGGGATATTTGTGGAGCCGCCTCCTCCAGTGAGTTGTTTGATTGTCCACCACCATTCACAACTGGATGTGGCAGGACTGCAGAGCTTAGATCTGATCCGTTGGTTGTGGGATCGCTTAGCTCTGTCTATCACTTGCTGCTTTCACTGTTTGGCGTGCAAGTAGTCCTGTTTGGTGGCTTCACTAGGTTGATACCTCATCTTCAGGTATG